AAAGTATAGTAAGTCGATATTCATTTCATATAATTGCTTGTTATTATGATACAAAGGATACAATATTTGTTCTTCGTAACTAAACACGGTAACATTAATTTTATTATACGATTCAAATTTAGGTATGTCCTGGATTTTGACAGGAAAATGTATTCCTTCAAAATTTAAATCATTTATATATTCCGGCTTATTATAATGATTCAGTCTATCTTCGTGTTCTTTTGCTTGATGTAAACAGGATATTACGATGTGCATAAAGCATCATGTATTATCGTTGTTTTTAACAATAACGCAAGCTTTTTGATCTTTAATCCACTTGGGTAATTCTACATATGAATTCCTGCTTAACGGTGTATATTTGTTTATATTAATGCGAAAATAATTTATATTTTTCAAAGTCCATCCAGATCCCTTTTCTTGCAATTCATTACATCTTGATATAAATAAATCCTTTTGTTCATCCCAATATTCCTCCAGGTCATCTTGTTCTCTTATTAGATAACATTTGCTAACTGAAATTTATGTATCATTGTAAAATCTTCATTTTCCAGTTTCATAAACTCGCATTCCATCTCTAAATTGATTTTAATATTTTTATGGAGATTTAAAGCATTTATAACAATTTTAATAGCCTTTTCTTTTATCATATCCATATATGTTTCTATATCTATACCTTCTTCTAGATTGTTATGCTGATGGGTTAATAATCTTCCTTTAAAAGCAACCTGAACTAAAATAAAATCTGGCTCTGGATTATGTCTTGCTTTATGCTACTGCATTCGACTTTCTTTAATATGTATATTTTCCACATTCATCACACTTGATCTTTTTTACTCTTTCTTTTTTCGGTTTAGAAAATATGCCATCATTAAACGGAAATATTTTCAAACTCTTCTTGTTTTCTCTTTTTATTTTTAATTGCTCTTCAGCATGAATAATCTCGTTTATCAATTCTGGCTTATTGTATCCTTTAATGTATCTTATTCCTAAAGATTTTGCCATATTACGTAATTCGAGCAAACGCCGACTATTCAAATCATGTTTTAATTTATGCAAATAATGTATTCGAGTTTCCTCGATATATGTTCCACACATATCACATTTGATCTTCTTTACTCTATTTTTTTTTGGTTTGGCAAATATATCGTCATCAAACTGAAATGTTTTTAGGTTTTTTTTCTTTTCTTTCTCTTTATGTAGCTGCATTCGGGTGCTTTTGATATATTTTCCACTTATGTCACACTTGATTTTCTTAACTCCCTTTTTCTTTCGTTTAGCAAATAAATCATCATCAAATGGAAATATATCTGAATTCGCTTTGCTCATGAGGATTTTGTCCAAATTCCGCAAAGGCATAATTGATTTTTTTCCGTTTTTTATGTCCTTATGTAATTGATCTTCAGCTTTAATAATAGCTTTTATTAAGTCTGCTTTATTATATTTTCTAATATATTTGATGTCTAATGATTTTGCAATAATAAACAGATCAGATAAACGAAGATTACTTAAGTTCCTGCGTTCCATTTATTATAGGAAAAAATCTAACAAACAATTTTTAGCATACAAATAAATTCAATCCATTTCTATGCAAATCTGTTTTTATATGCCTTTTAAAATTAGTTCTAGTGTAATATCTACCACAAACACATAACAAACGAGTAGAATTAACTGCTTTTTTACATTGTTTACATGTTTTTTCATATTTATTTCTATAGTTATAAAAATCATCTGGACATTTTACTTCTAAACAAATAGAGCAAAGACTTGTCATTTATTAGAAAATGTATTCATCAAAGACTTGAAGATTACGGAAGCGTATTTTAAGAAAACCTAATTTTGCCAAGTTTAAAATATTGGTTTCATACATTTTAAACTGATTAAACATATTCCGATATACTAATCGTTCAAAGTCATTATTTGGTTTACTTCTCATATCGTTTAACCTTTTCTGAAAGATTTGCCATGCTTCTTGGTCATCGTTATGTAACGGATTCATTTAATTTATTATATTTTTTTTCATAAGAAATTACTCGACCATTTGTACATTCATTTTAAAGCAACAACAACAATCAGTCTTGAGATACTTAAGTACAGAAATGAAGATGACGAACAATTGGTTGCTAATTGGTTGGCAGCACAGTTTTCCAAAATTCAAGTAACCATCACAATCCAGGAGATGCATTTAAAGAGTCACCTTGTAAAAACCACTGGGACCGCAGTACCACCTATGGCTGGTCCAGTTAAAGTGGAAAAAATGTTCGTCAGTACTATTCGTACTGATTCAACAAACGGTCATATAATCATAGCTCGAAACGATAAATTGCTACTAAAATACTTACAAATAAACCCTCGGTCTATATTCTCCACTAGTTGTGATTTTTTCGCCATAGTGTTGATGCACGACCCGATTAGTAACATTTTAGCCGAAATATGGATCCAGATTCAAGTTTCAAATATTTTATTACAATCATGTACCAGTGGAAACACCTACATCTATTTACCATTTAATATTAATCGCACCAGCTACATTATCACCAACGAATATTCACCTGCCAGAAGCCTGTCAAATTTCAATCAATTTCGTCTGCACGTCTCTATACAAAACAGACCTCCAACGGCTATCACCAAATTCCCTCGGGTCCTACAAAAAAATCCCATTTATGCTAATTTAGTTCAACGTAAGGATTTCGCAGGCGTGGATGGATTTCTCCTAAGTAATTTAATCGAGCACCTAAATTTAAAGCTTGACATTTTTGGTGAAACCGGTGTCGAGAATGTACAGTTTGGAAGAGTGTTTCCAAATGGTACCGCCACAGGAACTCTGGCGCTGATACTTAACCACCAAGTGCACCTAAGCGCCAATGGTCGTTTTTTGATGGATTACGGTACCACAATGGTTGAATATACGGTACCGTATAGTTCTGATCAAATTTGTGCGGTGGTACCTAAAGCCGAGAAAGTGCCAGAACTGCTAATATTATTGAAGAGTTTCACGCTACCCGCATGGCTCATGATTATGTTCATTTTTGTTATTTGTAGTGTTATTTGGTACCTCATGGGTACTTCCAGAAATGCTTGGTGGGAAGTATACTCACTGTTGCATGGAATCCCTGTCAAAATATCACCATTAACAAAGCAGATTCCATTTCTCGTGTCTTGTATGGGGTTTAATATTATTATTATAGGTTTAGTGGAAGGGACGCTATATCGTTCCTTGACGACTGTTTCGTACTACAACGACATAAACACTCTAGAAGAGCTAGACCAATCAGGGCTACCAATAGCACCAACTTTTTTTACGTTTACGGCTGATACGTCAAAAGTGATGAAAAATTTGAAACAGAGGAAAGTTCGTCCAACGAGGGAAAGTATTCTAGATATTGTGGCTTATAATAGAAGTATTGCCAAATTAGAAAGAAAAAGAGACATAATGTGGGTACTCAAAACCAATTTTGTCGATGACGAAGGAGAACCACTGCTACATATCGTAGATGAGTGTTTTACGACGTTCTATATCAGCTTCATAGTACCAAAAAATTCAATTTTTCTTCCAACTTTTAACGACGTCATCATCAAGTTGTTCGAAAGTGGTCTGACGAATAAGTGGTACGAAGATGTTCAGTTTAGTTCCTTTGTAGCAAAAATGGACGATATGAAAGTTAAGACGGAAACTTCCGAATCGATTTCTTTTGACGAAATCAAGGCGGTCTTCTATGTGTTGCTTTTAGGACTTGCTCTAAGTCTAGCAGTTTTTTGCCTGGAAGTGTTTCTGGAAATAAATTGGAACTTTAATTATTATAGAATATATGGTTATATAAGTGTCAAACTACCGAATTTATACTTTAAGAAATAAAGGAGTTATTTTTGTTGGTTTGTGCAATCGATCCTTGAAAATAAATCACGCAATGTCGGTGAAGTAATCAATCGATATGTTTATTTCTACACAAACATTATTATCATTGTCGAATCTGTTCTATTCAATTATTAACTTATTCTTTTGTTTAACACGGGTATTTTTATTGCGTGCTTTTCACCACTTGCAGTCAATAAAGCACACGTACGAGTTACGTTTTTAGAAATGTTTGATTTGATAAAGTACATCTTGACTTTTGGTAGCGTTTTAGGAATAACACCTTCAGTCGATAAAACACGAGACGACATCTGTTCAAGAATATATTTCTTGTGTATAGCAGTTATTTTGACAATCGGTTTTATGGTGTCTTGGAATTATAAAAGATTAGATTTGAAAGACTTTAGCATTTTAGAGGGAACGATACAAATTTGTACAGATCTAAGCTTATACATGTGTACAATCACATCGATATTATCAGGGTCGATTTTCAAACAAAAAAAATGGAAAAAAATGTGTAACAATTTAAAACAGCTTCAAAGTAACTTACCAGAACGTAATCGTACCTTCTTACCGTACTATTTAGCTTTCGCTGCATACCTTGGAATAGTTGGTCTTGTTATAATTTCAACAATAAATTTGTGGTGGAAAGTTGGCAACTACGACTATTTTAAAATGTTTACGATAAATTTAGTCGAATCTTTGGCACATCACATACATTATTCTGTACTATTTGTTTTTACCAAAGCGTTTAGTGTGTACTACCAAAGAGCGAAACTATTATTAATGAAAAAAATTACGACGTACCGAAATCTCGAAGCTACGCTGTCAGGAAAAACACATGAATTATTTTCAGAAGTGTACACCTCTTGGGCGGTTTTAAAAGACTCCGTCGATATTTTCAACGACATCTTTGGTTGGAGAATTCTTCTAAGCTTCACCCATGCTACAGCTTTTATAATTAGTTTTCTTGACAAGATACTGAGAAACAACGACGGGTTTGTTGGTGGTGATTTTTCGCAAGCTACTATAACGAATCTTTGTGCTGTTTGCAATATTTTTGTAGTGTTGTTGACTGTGGACTTTGGTGAAACCAACTAATTTTGTGTTTTTAGGCGAATATCGTAATTGTTGTAGTTTTGTGTGATTTTGTTTTATTGGAAGCAAGGGAAACTTTACAGATTGCGATTAATTTTCGGGGAACGGTGTTGAAGGAAAGTAGAGACTTGGAAAAGATGACTTGTTTCTTGGAAAATAATCTTCCCGAGTTTTCGGCAGCAAGGTTTTTCCATATTAGCAGATCCACTATTTTTAGTATCGTCAATATTATAATTACTTTTCTTATAATAACGTTACAGTTTAAGTAAAGTTAATTTTTGTACAATTATGTATGGCTACTTTTATCTTATTTATTTCATTAACTGTGTTGATAACTAAACAAAATTTTAGGAAAAGTGTTTGCACTTAGTAGGTGTCGAAATCATCATAGACCAAGCTATTGTAAAGTTCAACCCAAGCACCATAAGTAGCTTCTTTCGGATGATTTTTAATTTCTAAGTTTTCGTTAATATCAACGTAATAAAGATCTCCATTATCTGTTGAGACTGCAGGCCATATAATATTTTGCAGTAATTCTGATACTTCTGGAGTTGGGTTTCTAAAATGTACGGTTTACATATATCTAGCCTCACAAGGACTAATCTTACCGATATTTAGCAAAATCGGTCCACAATTTGATAAGACGCTGTCTCATCACTCTATCAGCTTCTGGGAAATTATTACCATTACATCCATCTCCACTGCAGAACAAATAACCTATTTCTTCGCCATGTCCTACACCTTCAGCACCATCATAGTGCGCGTTTCCACCTCCCATTTGACCATCGTAAGAGAAGATGTAGAAGTAAGTTTCCGCGGCTTTGGAGAAAAGTTCAGCGTGTTTTATGACCGATCTGGTGAAGGAAAGTAGAGTATAAAATGTTACTTCTGGACCAGAGCATTTGGCGTTTTAAAAAACAGGGTAAAATTCTACAAATTTAATGTTTTCCCAAAAGTAAACAACCGAAAACAAACACAACAAAATACCTTGCTTTTACACACCCCAAAATCGCTTTTTACTTCTGGACCAGGACATTTGGCGTCTCAAAAAATCAAGGCAGAATCCTACAAATTTAGCTGTTTACCTAAAAGCAAACAACCGGATAAGGTCTAAAATCCTTCAAAAATCACAAATTTTTATCCACTCCAAAAGTACTCAAATATGTGTAGACCATCAAAAATTGGTCACACGAAAAAACCGTTAAAATCTCCCAAAATAATGCAAAGTTATCTTACGAGCACTCTAAAAAATTTACAACATACCATGTTTTTAGACACCCCAAAATGTCTTTTTACTTCTGGACCAGAACATTTGGCGCATGCAAAAAAAAAGAGAAAAACAACACCAAATCAAAGAGGTATATTTGGCGCTTTACAAAACAAAACAGGAACCTAGAAATTTATGTTTTCCCAAAAGTTAACAACAGAAAGATATAAAATCTTTCAAATATCATAATTTTTAATGAGACCAAAAAATACTAAAAAGTTTCTTGTTGTAAATCAATAGCTTGAAAACACATGGTGGCGTGAGTGAGTGTGTCCGCTGTAGTGTCTCTCTTGATTTAAAGTGCTCAATCTATGGTTTTTTCTTGGTTTAATTGTGTTAAATTAGAGGAACTGTCTTGGTTTGGTGTTTCACGTTCGACAACCCCATCCTGGGGGGTGGTGAGTAAGCCTTAACCGTGATTTTTGATCGATTTATCGGGTTGAAATTCGCTACAATCTTATCAGTGGTTCTTCGTCGAGTTCTTATCCCTTTTCTTGTCCCTATCATCTGGTCACGGTTCACTTGCTAATAATATAGTAAGCATGCCGGTCAAATGCGGGAAATGCAACCGTAATATTACTCGTAATGAAAATTACATTTCATGTAAATCCTGCAAACTGAATTATCACCCTGATTGTGTCGGTATTGATGATGATGACTATGACCTTCTTAAAAAGCAGGGCAAACTTACAACATGGAATTGTAGTTTTTGTTTAATAGTTCCTATGTCCGATAATAATCCTGATCACAAATCTGCAAAAATGAAACCGTTGCCTTTTACCAGTGAAGCTAATTTATCATCTAATGCCCTAAAAGAGATAGATATGATCGTGTCCAGTCACGTTAAACCATTATTAAATATAATTGAAGCACTACAAACATCAGTTAATAATTTAGGTATTTCTGAAACTGATGTTTTAAACGCTGCAAAAAAAATAAAGACGAATTGGGTTTTCAGGTCATGATAATATACCTACCTGCATTTTTGGTATCTGATTGTGCGTCAGCTTTAGCTTACCCATTAATGTTATTATTCAATTTAATCCTGAAAACCTGTATATTTCCTGAAATTTGGAAATTATCCATCATAACTCCTATTTTTAAGAAAGGTAAAAGAAGTATGATAGAGAACTACCGTCCTATCTCGCTGATCTGTAACTTTGGTAAGGTTTTTGAACTTGTTCTTCATAGATTTCTTCTTTTTAGTATTCGTAATAAGATCTCCGAATCTCAGCATGGTTTCGTGTATGGCCGTTCTACTACTTCCTTCCAACTTATGTACTTTTACTCAGTTTATGTCTGACTCTTTTGATAAGAGACTGCAAGTGGACGTTGCATACATGGACTTCTCAAAGGCTTTCGATAAATTAAATCATAAAATTCTATTAGTTAAGTTGAACAATATTGGATTCTCTGTCGCTCTCCTGGAACTAATCAAGTCTTATCTAGCTAACAGGCTTCAGATTGTAAAATCTTTAGGACATGTGTCCAAGACGTCTGTTGTTTCTAGTGGCGTACCACAAGGCTCAGTCTTAGGTCCTCTCTTCTTCCTGATATATATTAATGATTTAGTCCAAGCTATTCACTCTAATATTCTTTTGTATGCAGACGACGTAAAAATATACAGAGATATAGCTAAATATGAGGACTGTCTATTACTGCAAACGGATTTACTTTATTTCCTGCACTGGAGTAAGTTGAATATGCTTCCAATAAATTTTGATAAATGTCACATAATGTCTTATACTAATAAGAATTCACAAATCTCATATGATTATACTTTAAATGAAGCTGTGTTATCCAGAGTAGAGTACTTTTCTGACCTGGGCGTGACTTTCGATCCCAAACTTACGTTTCGAGCACATATTAACAACATCTGTGCAAACGCTCTGAAATCCCTTGGATTCATTCTGCGTTGTGGCAGTAATTTCAATGACTTGGAATGTTTGCGAATCTTATACTTCTCTTACGTGCGCTCTAGGTTGGAATATGCAAGTATAGTATGGTCCCCTTTCTGTCAAAACCACACTGACGCTCTAGAAAAAATTCAGCGCCGCTTTCTTAAATATTTAGCATATAGAGTAGATGGTACTTTTCCAATAAGTGGTACACCCCAAATCTCTCTTTTAAACCGATTTCAACTTCCGGATTTAAACACTAGACGCATTTCTTATTCATTGAACTTTCTTAGAAATCTAGTGTGCTCACAAGTTGACTGTTCCAATCTTCTCAGCAAGCTCTATATCTATTGTCCAAGACTTTCTTCTCGTGACCACCGTTGTTTCTATCTGCCTACACCGCGTATAGTTGTCGAAAAGTACTCGTCTGTTTATCAAATGACCAATAATTTTAATCTGAGTCAGAATGATTTTGATATTTTTGTTAATGTTCCCTATGGGATAAAGTAGTAATTTTAGCTACTGATTACCATTTTTTTTATACATTTATTCTCATTTCTTTTGTAAGTCTGTAATTGGGTCTTGCACCCGTTGACTTACGTATATATAATAATAATAATAATAATAATAGCTCATCAGAAATTGGGCACATGAGAAAACTGTTGTAAATCATCCAAAATCAAACCTAATTACGTTAAAAGCACCCAAAAAACCTTACAGAATTCCTTGTTTTGAGACACTCCAAAATGACTTTTCATTGATGAACCAGGATAATAACTGGTAAAATAAAAAAAAACTGTGTCAACAGTTTTGTTGCTGAATATTTCACTGGTTCCAGATGGAACCGGTGCAAACGAGTAAAATCACAAAAGTGTTATTTAAATCCCTCGGTTTTCAACACCCCAATATTTACAAAGTTAATAAAAAAAATGCAAAACATTTCCCGTTTTCGTTCCGACTACAATCCGATTTATTCTTACAGCATCTCATCCTTCACGACAGCTTATACCTTTCATGGGTATGTGTGTATTGAGGAGAATAATCGGCACGACCATTAATCCTGAATTAATTGAAATAATTAAAGTTAAATTTGCTGAACTTGGTGAACAAACGGATTTTGGCAACAAGTAAAATTGTATTTGGTAATTTAATTAGAATTTTATTATCAAAACTATAAACAAATCATTAGCAGAATAATAAATTAAGCATACCCAATTCATGAATATAGAAACTACCTGTTTCATTTTTTAACATAAATACCTGCAAATTATAAATTATCACTGCAAACAGAATTACTTTGTGTTTCATTTCCAACTTGATATATTATATATACTCTCTTCTCATTTGTATTACATGCCAAACCGGCATACATAGCGGTTTTTAAAAATTTGTTTTAGAGCTTCTTGTGCAGACTTGGAATCCAGTTTGTATTCAAAAATGATTCCGATTTTCTTAAAGATTATCACCATATCAAGGGTATTGGCTATCCCTCGGCTCTTTCTAATTTTCTTCATCTGGACTTCACTGCGTGTTACGAAGTATCTGGAATTATATACCAGAGTATACAAAATGTGATGAAGTTCAGATTCGTTCGTAATCTGCCTCTGTGATGGTTGACAAAATAATGCTAATACAGCGTTTGCAAAATCAACAAATTGCTCTCACTTGTACTTTCTAATACTAATTGCAGAGCATTTAAATATCTTGCAATATTTTTAGAGCTCAAATTGTACGAGTTATCCTTAATTGTCAATGCTTCACTGTAACAAGTGTGAAAGGTATATCTTTTAATTTCAAAATTAGGTATTTTTAAGATACAATATTCCTCTGTATTTTCATCTTCGGTTTCTTTATGTTTTTTCTCATCAACCGACAGTATATTAAAGTAACCACAATCAGCCAAGAATTGCAATAATAACTGCACATTTTCCTCCGATACTTCATCAAACTCCAAAGAAGTAAGTTCCTCGATTTTCTACCCGAGGAAGGTTATTATTTCTTATACTCATTAATATCCTTATCTTTTTACTTCATCTTATCACTAATTTACTTATAGGTATTTCTAAACAGCTGATTTGACACACACTAAATGTTACCCGTGTATTAAATAGCACGGTAAACAGTTTAAATCTGGCTGCATATATCATCAACTGCAATTTCATTCTTTTTTTATTTAATTGATTATTTATCTAAGTATTTTAATCTAACTTAACATCAGTAATTGCACATCCTATTTCGTCAATTGAATTAATTCAATACGAGCTGTTGTATTAAATGCAAAAATTTGGTCGTCAACCAAATTAGTTGTAACAAATGCGGAAATGTTTTTCATCCAAGCTGTCTAAAACAGTTTCAAGGATTTTTAGGAATCGCTAAAGACATAACTTCTGTTAATAGTTGTCCTCAGTGCGACAAAGGAGCTAAAATAAATACTTCAAACATTGGTACTTCCTCATCCTCTACGGAATTAATTAATCTTCAACGGCAATTCAGTGATTTAAAAGACTCCATAGTTAATACGATGGATCATATGGTGAAAGCAGTCGAAAATAACTTGGTTAAATTATTTGACGATTTGCGTGACATGAAATCTATAATCTCCGAGTCGATTAAAACAGAATTTAATAATTGGAATTCTGAAATTAGTAATGATCTCCGTACTGATGTAAAATCCTGTTTATCTGAGTCTAATTCTTCTCTTCAGACTGAGTTTGCTAAATTGAAATCGACATTTAGTATCGTTTGCAATGAAAATCTTGTACAAAACCCAAAAGTCAATTCCGTAGAAATGAATCTACCTAATTTACTTGATGACATGTGTCGTAACTTAAAACCTTGTATTACTGACTCATTCAAGTCAGAATTTGATGG